GAAACCCAAGGAGGGGTCGCTATGAGTCAGATCTGACTCGAGGGCAGTGAGTTCCTATAGCTTCCAGCCAAACAAAAGACAAGCATATGAGCTGAACATTTACCTGAGGTAGATACATTCCTTGGAGAGAACAATCATGGGAGAATAGCAAGGCAGTGTATGCACAGGGAAACAGGTGGGGAGGGGGGCAGGAGTGCAGGGGAGGAAAAGAAACTGGGAAGAGGTAACGGGAGGAAGTGGGAGGGGAGCTGTTACATTGTGGGAGATTGTAGTCAATGTCATGAGAAAAAACATACGTGAGCTGCTATATGAAAAGTGAATTTGCTCTGTAAGCTTTCACCTAAATCACAATAAAATTAAAAAAAACAAAAAAATAAAAATAAAAAACCACACCCCTTGATCTCATTGCACTTGTACCGTGGAGGGAGTGGGTACAAGCAATAGTCACCTATGAGTGGCCAGTCCAGGAAGGTAGAGGAAGAGTACTGTTTTATGCCTGGGCTCAGGGCAGTACTCTGGGAGGTGAGACGCGGAGAATGGAAGGACATGAGGAAGGTAGCCACACAAATACCTGGGAGTGAGCATCTCGGACAAAGGGAGAGAGGGAGGACAGGGGCCCTGGAGTGGGCTTGGTCATGGGGGCATTTTAGGAACGTGGTGCAATGACTAATGCAGGTTTAATGAACACACGGGAACGTGAGGGTAGTCGCGTTAGAGTCTGGAATTCTGGCTGCTGAGCAGGGACTGGTTCCTTCAAGCACCCCAGACTCTCATTGTTGCTGGCCTGGTTCTGTTTCCAGGACCAGGCTCTTGTGAACCCCCTGGCATGCCAGTTCTCTGTCTGTCTTCACCAAGTGGTTAGCCAGTCATTGCCAATCATCCTAATAACCAAAACCAGGTCCATCATAAACTTTGTGAAACAGAACAATGGTTATGAAATGCTAACTTTTAAGAACAAAAGCTACAGTTGAGATGGGCCTGCTTCCAGGAACAGACAGTTTCAATTGAAGTTTTGTCCTAAGATAAGAGAGTCAAATAACAAAATCCTCCAGCTCAAGATTAGAGGTTCAGAGTCTTCATCACTGTCCTAGAAACCCCAAAACAACCTCAGGGTGTCCTGGTTTGATATTTATCCTGGAAGTTTATTTAACATTTACTTAAATTTCCTCCAGTCAGGCTTAAGTTATTGATGATATTTAGAAGAAAGCAGTCATCAAAAAAAAAAAAAAAAAAAAAAAACACACACCAAACCTACTGCCATCAAGTTGGTTCTAATTCATAATGACACCCACTGGGTTTCCAAGAAGGTAAATCTTTACAGAAGTAGATTGCCCAGTCTTGCTTCCACTGAGTGGCTGGTGGGTTTGAACCACCAACCTTCTGGTCAGCAGTCAGATGCTTTAGTCACTGCTACCAGCGCTCCTTGAAAGCAGTCACAGGACTACTTAAAAATATCCGCTTAATCACACAATCATCATTTAATGCCTATTTTATTCAAGATACTTGGGAGGGTGCAATTGGGTAAACTAGTATATTTCAGTCCAGGCAGCACAAATGAAATAAGAAGTGGAGGGAAAGGCACACTTTGTCTGGCAGAGAGGTGGCAGTTTGAGAAGGACTTGGCCTGACATCATTGGTTTTGTAGATAGAGGAATGGGGCCATGAGCCAAGGAATGGAGAAACTGGAAAAGTCAAGGAATCAAACGTCCCTAGAGCCTCCCAACCCCTTGACTGCAGCCCAGTGAGGCCCCTGTCGGACTGCTGGCCAATAGAACTGTAAGACAATAAGTTTGTGGTGTTTTAAATCACTGAGTTGTTGTTGTTACAGCAGCAATAGGAGATGAATGAAGGACCCATTTTTCCTGCCGATCTGGATATAAATGCCTCTTACCTGTATTTTGAATAGTGGTATTGACTATACCATTATGGTGGTTATGTTTGTGTGTCAACTTGGCTGGGCCTGGTTGAGTGGCTGGCCAGCTGGTGGTAGTTATTCCCCATGATGAGACTGGCAATCAACTCCACGGTGGGATCTACCACAAGCAGCTGAGTAGCTGCTTTGGGTATGTGGTCTGCTTCCTGTATATAAGAAGCAGATTTGGGAATGGTCTCTAGCCTTTGGCATGCTTGGACCCTGCATATAGCCATGTCATTGCTCAGCAGCCTGCTATGCTCTGCCAACCTTGGGACTTACAATGGACTTGAATTAATGGCCTGCCGTGTGGTTTGGTAACATCAGGACTGTGCCTTTTTACTTGTCAACCTTGGGGCTTCTCGGCTTCAGCAGCCAGCAGCTGTCTGAGTGAAGAAACGCCTCTAGCTCCAGTGGGCCGGGAGCAGGAGGCAGAGCTGGACCCCAAGGTTGAGGGCCTTTCACCCAGCCCCTAGAGCTTGGCACTTTGAACTTGGACTAAAAGCCTCTAAATTGTAAGAATAAACTCCTGTTTGATAAGGCCACCCCATTTGTGGTATATTCCTGTCACGGTGGCACTGGGGAACCGGAACAACCATAGACTGCCGGAAGAATG